GATATGTGTGGTGTGTGGGTATGTGTGTCCACATTCATGTTAGGGCTTATGTGTGCATCTGTGCATATCTCTGTGAAGGCCAGAGGTATGTTATTTTTTTGAGACAGGGTTTTCCACTGTACCAGGAACTCACCAATTTAGCTAGATCGACTGACTGGTGAGCTCCAGGGCATCCTGCCTCTGTCTTCCCAGTGATCAGATTACAGATGTGAGCCCCATGCCCAGCTCTTCACTTAGGTGTTGGGGATCTGAATTCAGGTCCTCCTGTATATGCAGCATGTACTTTATCAACTGAGCCGTCTCTCTAGCTTCCTTTTCCATGTCCTTTTTATCTCAATCTTGAGATATATTTTTCTGGAATTTAAAATTTCATGAAATCTGAGCTTGGTAGTGCATGACTATAATTCCAGCACTTGTGAAGGTAGAGGCAGGAGGATTATGAGTTCAAATTCATCCTGGGCTACACAGTTCATTTTGAACTCACAGAGATCCTCCTGCCTCTGCCTCTTGAGTGCTAGGATTAAAGGAGTATATCACCTTTATACTGGATTATAAACGGCTGAGGCAGTTTTTAACCTAGCAACTGAATTGGAGTAGGAACCCTTGATCTGATCTCTGTGGAAAGATTCTCCACAAAGAGTAAGGTCATGAGCTTGACAAAATAACCAGCACTCGGGAGGCTGAGACAGGATGATTGTAAATTGAAGGACAGCTTGGTTACATAGCCAAACCTTGTCTTAAAACACACAAAAAACCAACCCCTCCCCCCATAAAAAACACACAAAAAAACCAACCCCTCCCCCATAAAAAACCCACTACTCATTGCTTGGTGGGAGTAGTCAGGCATAGACAACCACAGCTGTGGTTCCACTTACACAATCTTTCTGAAATAGAAAAAGTCCAGAGACAGGAAACATGATGGCAGATGCAGGAGGAAAAGGCTGCGGATGCAGGCAGCCTTTAGAAGAGATGGAACAGTTAGGGGTTCTGCAGGGGGTTGGCTGCAAAATACTGGAGATGTGCTGAACATGGCTGAGCTGCTCCCCTGACACCGTGTGTGCTTCTACCCAAACAAGGATGAAGGGAGATGATGGCTCGGCTGGTAGAGCGCTTGCCTGCCTTAAATGAAGTGCAGGGTTCAAACCCATCATAGCATAGAACAGGTGCAGTGGTGCATACCTGCAATCCTAGCACTTGGGAAGTGGATACAGGAGGGTCAAGAGTTCCTGGTCATCCTCGGCTACCCAGTCAGCTCAAGACCAGCCTGGGTTATGTGGAAACTTGCTTCAGAAAAGAGAGCAATAAAAGGTGATAGAAGGGGGCTGGAGGCTCGTCTGATCCAGAGCAAGCCTCAGTCTGGATGAGCTCACTTGCTGCTTAAGTGGTCTCTGTTTGAACACCATCAGGACTTCGAAGTCTCAGCACCCACTCTGCTGTGTCTGCCCTGGAGAGCCAGGTCCCAACCCACCTGGGAAGTGGCATTTTCAGGGGTGGTGTCTCTGTGGAAACAGAGTTACCACCTAATAGTACTGCTTTGTTGTGGGACTCCGTGGTGAGCTTTGGTCTAAACCGACTGACTGAGAACCTATCAAGGCTACTTACTATCTTGATGGAGGAGGTATCACCTCTCCTCTCTGAGACTGTTTTATTTATATGTCCCTCTCTTCTTACAGGAGTAGGAGACACAGCCCAGCTGTGCCTTCCTGGTGTCCTAGGGTGGATTGTAAAGTCCTACTGCATCTTCTCCAGCCAGTCCTGTCATAATTTCTGACATGCTGATGCCATTGTTTCCAAGAATACAGTACATTTCCAGCCCTGTGCCCAGTCATATGACCAGATTACATCTGAGCCGGATCTACAACCCTCAGTAATCTCAGATAAGACGGTATAGGCTACAGGGGAGGGTGGGAAAACTAGGCCAGTTTATTTCAATAGAACCAATGACCTAGAGGGTGGTGGACTCCTGGCAAGAAGGGGATTTGGCAAGGAGAGGATTTGGCAAGGATGGGATTTGGCAAGGAGGGCGTTCAGCAAAGAGGGGATTCACACACAGTCTCAGACACGCTCTCAACACCTGAGAGAGGAATCCACACACGCTTCAGGCTCACCCCAGGCTGTGGCTGTTTCTTGAATGAACAGGTTTTGTTTTTGTTTTAAATCAGCACAGTGTTTCAGAAGCTTCTGCAAACACAGCCTGTGCAACTTTGCATCGTAGGACCAGGTTGACTCCACTATTTTGACCTCCCCCAGTCAGGTCTATATAGCTTTTATCACACTCATGGTATTGCCTGGAGCTACTGTAGCAACCAACATAGCCGGTGGCTTTAAGATCAGAGGCCCATCATCCCATGTACCTGAGACTGGAGAGTCAAGAGGTGCTCCAGGGCTGGCATTTCCCAGTCCTCTCTTGCTGGCTTTCAGACAGTATCTTCTCTCTGTGTCCTCATACAGCCACTGTCCTGTTCCTCTATCTATCTATCTATCTATCTATCTATCTATCTATCTATCTATCTATCTATCTATCTATGTATCTATGCAAGTGTAGGTCTAAGCTGTCATTTCTCAGGAGCTGTCCATCTTGGTTTTTGAGAGAGGGTCTCTCTCTGGCCTTGGACTCTCTGAGTAGGCTAGGCTGGCTGGCTAGTGAGTCTCAGGGGTCCTCTTTTTTCTCAACCTCTCTAGCTCTGGAATTACAAGCACATGGCACCACGCCACCTCACTTTAAAAATATTTTATTTCATTTCTGTGTGTGTGTGCTAGAGAGAGAAAGAGAGAGAGAGATAGAGATAGATAGATAGATAGATAGATAGAGCAAGAGCGATGGAGAGAGCACCGTGTGAGTGAGGTATGTGAGGTATGTGAGGTATGAGTGTGGCTTTCATATCTATGTGTGTGTGTGTGTGCCATGTCTGTGTGGCTCTAATATGAGTGTGAGAGCCTGTGGAGGCTAGATAAAGGTTTCAGAGCCCTTGGAGCTGGGGTTAAGGTGGGTGTGAGCCTCCTGCATGTGAGCTGGAAACTAAACTTTAGTCTTGTGTAAGAGCAGTTCTGACCTCCGAGCCATCTGTTCAGGGGACTGAACTCAGGTCCTCATGTTTGTAATTCAAGCACTCTACCAATTGAAAAATCTTAGCAGACCCTAATTCTGTTTTTTAGTGCATCCCAAAGAGGGTCTAGCTGCAGGGACAGGCACTGGTGTGAGCATCAAAGTCAGAAAAATATCCAGAGACCAGTCACAGCAGCTGAGGATCTGGAAAGCAGGGGTCCACAGATTGCCTGTTTCCCTTCTGGACTCCACCTTTGGGGTCCCCACTAAACTCAGGATGTGGGCTAGAAGCCCTGTGGATCAAGGGTAGCAGCCAGCTAAGCCCTGAGCCTCTGTCTTTACAGATGTGGCTGAGCTCATCCCTCCCCTCCCCTGGGAGACAGACTTGGACAATGACACAGAGACACTAGGATTCACGGAGGTGGACAGTCAAAGGTCTGAGTGGTTGAGGTTTGAGCAGGTGGTCTTGCCCTTCATGGTGGTGGCAGTCCTGTTTGGGGGCAGTAGATAGCAATGTAGTCTACTGGTTTCTCTGTTTCTATGTCTGCAGCAGCTCCTATGTCCTCAGCCTGGCCACATCTGACTAACATCCTCTGCTGACATCCTGAGTCTCATCTGAGCCATCGGGGTCCTGCTGGAGGACATGGCTAGATACCATTATGAGGTGTGATTCTTGTGTGTCCTTTATCCCACCGGTTGCCCTATGAGCACATCTGCAGTGGTCAATGCTCTGAGCAGAGTTCTGGTACTTTCTTTGCATACCCTGAGGCCTATGCCTACTGGTTGGAGTGACCCTCCTCACTCAGGATTTAGGATACATCAGCTGTTGACCTGCTGTACAATGTGTGTGTTCAATCTGATCTAGGCCCGCCCTGGCCTGTGCCACCCCCAGCAGTAGTCACTGGCCAGAATTTACCACAATGACCATGTTGTGGTCATCACTTTTCTCCTCTGGTGCCTGCCCCTGCCCCTATCCTGTACATTCCAGAAGGGAATCTGAGCCTACCCTCTGGCCTCTTGTGTCTCCTGTCCAGTATGGTCAGCATGGCTCACCCAGTTGTCTATTTCCTGACTGGACACTTCCAGGGAAGGAAGCACTAGGAATCATGTTTCACAGAGCCTTGATGATCCAAGTAGGGTGATGGGAGACCCCAGACATACCATCCAAAGGTGGTCTCAGCCTTCCTCAGAGGGAGTAAATAATGTCTTCCCCTATGGATTTCCCCTGTAAGGTACAAAGTAACCTGAGCCCAGGGCTATGAGGCTCAGAGGAGTCCTGTCAGGAGAACATTGGGAATACTTTGAGATGCAGAGGGACTGTGTTCTTCCACACATACATCACCTACCTGTGTGTAAGGAGCCTCTTTACTGCATCAAAGGCTGAATAAGCACTGCTCCCTCGTGGTGGCCACCCTCTGCAGTTCCACAGAGACCTCCCAGAAGCTTACTGACAGTGAACTTGCCATTCCTTAGTACATAAACAGAGAAGGGCATGAAAGGATTACACTGGAAGGAGGATTATTTTGCTGTGAAGAGATGATTTTATTGAAGGAAAATACAAATGTGGTCTAAGAGACAGGTATAAAAATGGCATAAAGAGGAACTAGTGTGGACTGTGCTGGCAAGAGGAAGTGGTGTGATGTGGCCAGCATGTGTTTTTTTCCTGTTAAGAATCCAGGCACAGGTGTCCTTCACCAGGTGTTGCAGATCTTGAATATCAAACATCTGGGAGAAGCAGACAATGGCCAAGGAAGAGTCAGAAAGTCCCTGTGGCCATTAACCTCCTTGGCTGAGTAGTAGAGAAGGCCATGTCTCTGAGAAATAGCATCTCAGAGAGATCGGATGATATAGGAGAGTGATTGCTCTGTGAACAATGAGAACAGCCAACCCCACCCTACCCTACACTAAAGAAGAGAATGAAAGAACTCAGCTGATGACTAGACTGTCCGATATCTCAGATCTTGCACTGGCAGCACACAGGAGCACAGCAGCTGGACTGGCAGCAGCAGGGCTTGCAGCAGCTGGACTGACAGCAGGAAGACCCACAGCCTGAAGAGCAGCAGGGTTTGCAGCAGCTGGACTGGCAGCAGCAGGGCTTGCAGCAGCTGGACTGGCAGCAGCAGGGCTTGCAGCAGCTGGACTGACAGCAGCAGGGCTTGCAGCAGCTGGACTGACAGCAGCAGGGCTTACAGCAGCTGGACTGACAGCAGGAAGACCCACAGCCTGAGGAGCAGCAGGGCTTGCAGCAGCTGGACTGGCAGCAGCAGGGCTTGCAGCAGCTGGACTGGCAGCAGCAGGGCTTGCAGCAGCTGGATTGACAACAGCCTCCCTTGCAGCCTCCACAGGAGCCACATCCCCCACAGGAGCCACAGCCTCCCTTGCAGCCCCCACAGGAACCACAGCCTCCCTTGCAGCCCCCACAGCTGGAGCAGGAACAGACAGGCACACAGCAGCACACAGGCTTGCAGCAGCACACAGGCTTGCAGCAACTGGATCCACAGCCTCCACAGCCTGAGCCACAGCCCCCACAGCTGGAGCCACAGCCTCCACAGCTGGAGCTACAGCCTCCTGAACAGCCACAGCAGGTCATGGTTCTGGTGTTTGGTTGAGGATGGAGTAGGTCAGAGGTAGAGAGGGAAGATGTGAAGATGTGGAGCCTCCTGAGCCTGGGCCTTTATATCCCTGCCCAGGGTGTTGCTGGGCTCTTGGTCACTTCCCTGTATCTTCAGGCTATTTCCTCGATGTGGTTTTGTTTGTTGTACCTGTTTCTCTGTTTTCTGCTAACTGTATGCACTGGTGATTTTTCTTAGGTTTCCAAATTTGATCTCTTCCTTGTTTATGTTAACTTTGGTCTCTTCTTCCTAGATGCTCTTGGATGGTGGTCACCTGCCATTTGTTGACTGCATGTGACTTGGGAGTGACAGTATCATGTCCAGGTTCTTCTATACTAGCTCTGTTTGGATTTTTTCCTCTTAGGTTCACTTGTTAGAATGATTAATGTCTTCAGACATGACACCCTCGTTACGGCACCTGTAAAAGTTATCCTGTTTGGAATTAGAGCCTTTATAGATCTCTGTAAATTGAGAATGCATCACTTGGGTTATCTGCATGGACCATATGCACTCAAGTGCACTCTTAGTGGAAAGAGATTCGACATCAATGGAAGAGAAAGATGTGTAGATAAAACAGAGAGACACAAAGAGCCTAGAGATGGGAATCCCACACCATGGATCACTGGGATCTCAGGCGCTGAAAGAGTCAGGGAATAGACTCTCCTTCAGAGCTTCCAGATGAACCACTGACAACCCCATGTTTGTCTGAGACGCTGAAATGGACCCCCAGTACTGTTGTTGGTAATATATTTCTGAGACAAGTTATACCATAATTCTGTAGTTATCAGATAGTAATTTAAAGTGTGGCATTTGGAGATGGAATGTAATGAGCATATAATAATGTAGAATGGCTACCATCGATTTATCATCTATTCATCCATTAGCTCATCTATATATTATCTACCATCTATCTATTTCATCTGTGACCTATTAATTTAAATCTATCTGTCAATCAATCATTACCTATATCATATCATATCATATCTATCTATCTATCTATCTATCTATCTATCTATCTATCTATCTTAGATGTATGTGTCTTAGTTAGAGTTTTAGTGCTGTGAACAGACACCATGATCAAGGTAACTCTTATAAAAACATTTAATTGGGGACAGGCTTATAGGTTCAGAGGTTCAGTCCAGTATCATCAAGGCAAAAGCATGGCAACGTCCAGGCAGGCATGGTGTAGGAAGAGCTGAGAGTTCTACATCTTGTTCTGAAGACAAACAGGAGAAAACTGGCTTCCAGGCAGCCAGGATGAGGGTCTTCAAGCCCACACCCACAGTGACACACTTACTCCAACAAGGCCACACCTAATAGTGCCACTTCCTGGGCCAAGCATATTCAAACTATCACAGAATCTATCTATCTATCTATCTATCTATCTATCTATCTATCTATCTATCTATCTATCTATCTATCTATGGCTTTTATGTGCAATTTCTGACACTTGTTCCATTTGACACACACAGTCTATGATTCTGAAGATACTTCTGTGAACTCTCATTGGATGTGCACTGCTCACATCAGCACACCTCTCTTGTTGCCAACACTCACTCTCCTTGGCTCTGTCAGTTTTCTTCCTGTCATTACAGGACTCTGAGCCTTGAGTGATTCTTACACAGTGTTTCTGTTCTTTCATGCTAGATCCATTTCTTCAGTACAACCCTTATGAGATGAGTCTGTGCTGGTACATGGAGTTTCTTTCTTTGTACTGCTGAGTAATATTCCACCGTGGACTCCATTTATCCATTCACCTCTTTTTCTTTTTTTTTTCTTTTCTTTTTTAAAAAAAGATTCATTTATTATGTATACAGCACTCTGCCTGCAGTACACCTGCATGCCAGAAGAGGGCACCAGATCGCATTATAGATGGTTATAAGCCATATATTATAAGCCACCATGTGGTTGTTGAGAATTGAACTCAGGACCTCTGGAAGAGCAGACAGTGCTCTTAACCTCTGAGCTAGCTCTCCAGCTCAGCCTCCATTCTGACTCTTGACTGACATTTAGGTTGTTTCCACTTTTTATACTAATAAAGCTACTATATACATTTGCTTTGTGGTATATGCATTCTCCTCTCATTTCTGTTAGTAAGCATAAGTGTAATGGAATAACAGGAGTAATTCCAGTGTTCCAATGTAATGGAAGAGCCAGAGTAATTCCAGTATTCCAGTGGATTGTACCCCTATAGCAGCTAGAAAGAGCAGCGCTTCAGTGGCCTCATATCCTTGCTAGTATTTGTTATTGTGATTTTTCGTAACCTCCCATTTATGGCAGGTATCAATTGGGTTTCATAGCTTTAAATTCCCTGATAGTGAATGATATTGAATATCATTTCATGTATATACTGTACCGTTCTATATTTTTGTATGTTTAAAGAATACATTTTTTTCCCAATTTAGATAATACCATAGTTACCTTCAGCTGTCAACCTGACACAACTTGGAAAAAGAGAATCTCAATTGAAGAATTGACTCCTGAAGATTGGTCTGTGGCCATTGTCTTTGGAGGCTTTTTCTTGGTAATTTTTTTTCTTGGTAATTGATACAGGTAGATCCATCCTGTTGTGGGTGGGGCCATACCTGAGTAGGTGGTCCTGGGTTTCATAAGAAAACAATCTCAGTAAGCTATGATGAGCAAGCCAGGAAGCAGCATTCTTTCATGGCCTCAGTTCCTGCCTCCAGGTTCCTGCTTCCAAATCCTACCCTGATTTCCCTCCATGATGGATTATAAGCTGTGAGATGAAATAAACTCTTACCTTCCTAAGTTGCTTTTGGTTATTTTTTTTTCTTACCATAGTAACAGGCTAGTATAGAAATAATTTATCTATTTTTTGTGTGTCAGTCTTTTTTAAAAAATATTTTGTTGTTTTATGTATCATGGCTTCTTATATGTGTTTTGCCTGCATATCTGTCTGTACACCACATGTGGGAAGTGCCCTTTGAGGCCAGAATAAGGCATTAGATTCCTTCGAACTAAAGTTACAGATGGTTGTGAGCAACCATGTGGATGCTGGCAGTCTAATCCAGATCTTTTGGAAGAGTAGTTAGTACTCTTAGCTACTGAACCATCTCTCCAGTCCCATGGCTCAATCTTTTCATGTCCTATATAAGAAACCTTAGGCTACCTCCAAGCTGTAAGGATTTTCTCCCAAACTTTCTTTAAAAGACTGTTTAGTATTATGTTTAGTGTTGGAGTCCAGGAATAGCCTAACAAACCACACGAACACTGATCTCAGTCAGACAGGGACAGTTTATTGAGCATACACCCCAGGACTGGTAGATCAGAGCCATAGTCTAGATTTGGGAACTGAACAGTGAACCCAAGTTAAAATCATACAAGATTTTTTAAGCCCCAAATTCACAAACATCTGTGCCAAGTTATTTTACCAATCAGGATTTATGGATAAGGGATTTTCTTAGGAACAGGTCTTTGTTGAATCCTGCTCCCATTGGCTGGGATATTCAACTATGGCAGGGGACTTGAATTATCTAATATTCATGTCCTATTTGCCAACCAAGATGAGACTTTTCTAATGTTCATGTCTTAACCAGGATGTCAGTTTCCAGGGAGGTCTTGGGAGTTTAAACTTTACTGAACCACTAATCAAAATGGAATTCTTATTCCAAATAGTTTCTTATATTGGTGAGGTGTCTCTCTTATGTTGGGGTCTATCCCAAGGGCAGCTTATACCACAAAAATTTATATACAGGTGCAAGAAGTGCTGTTGGGTGGTTAGTTTGGGTCCAAGCTTATTGTTTTTATTTATTATTTAATTTATTATTATTATACAAAACAGTTCTACTGACTTCTATAATGACTGGTTTACAGGGGACACAAAACATAACAAAATATGTAATCAATCTTGACATTAAATATTTTCCTAATAACAACGAAAACACATAAAAAAGTTCCCTTATAATGGCAGTTTATCCAGGTAACAGTTTCCTAGGCCTTAACATTTCATTTAGGCCTTAATAGTTTACCTAGACCTTAACATTTAGGACATCAATATATTTTTATTTTTCCTAGTTACCCTGCATGGATAGCCATTAGCTGGACTGCCTTCCCTTTCCTTCCTTAATAGCTGCATCAGTTAGACAAATTTTACAGAAGTATTTACTTGGCTTTTACTTGGGATTTTACCAAATTTATAGATCAATTTGGAGAGAATTCACAGTATTGGGTATACTGATCCAAAGTCATAGGCTCTCTCCTTTATTTTCATTGACTTTAACATTGTTTTGTAGTATTTATTGCATCGTTAAATAAAAGATTTTGTTAAATTTATTCCTATTGTTTTCACAGTAGTTTAATGAGGGTAAAAGCAAAATTTCCATCTCTGTACTGGCTGGTTTTGTGTGTCAACTTGACACAAGCTGGAGTTATCACAGAGAAAGAAGCCTCCCTTGAGGAAATGCCTCTGTGAGATCCAGTTATAAGGCATTTTCTCAATTAGTGATCAAGGATGGGAGGGCCCATTGTGGGTGGTGCCATCCCTGGGCTGGTAGTCCCAGGATGGATAAGAAAGCAAGCTGAGCAAGTCAGGGGAAGCAATCTAGTAAGCAGCATCCCTCCATGGCCTCTGCATCAGCTTCTGCCTCCAAGTTCCTACTCTGTGTGAGTTCTTGTCCTGACTTCCTTTAGTGATGAACAGCAATCTGGAAGTGCAAGCTGAATAAACCCTTTCCTCCCCAACTTGCTTCCTGGTCATGATGTTTTGTGCAGGAAAAGAAACCCTGACTAAGACAATCTCTTTCTCTTCTTTCTAGGACTGGTTTTTTAAAATTGACTTTAACTTCATTTATTAAATTCTTATATACTTTTGCAGATTCCATCAGATTATCTACATTGACAATCAACATTACTGTTGTTGTTGTTATTATTATTGTATTATTATTATTATTATTATTATTATTATTATTATTATTATTTTGAGTCAAGGTTTCTCTGTATAGTCCTGACTGTCCTGGAATTCCCTCTGTAGATCAAGGTTCAAGGTTGGCCTCAAACTTACAGAGATCCATCTGTCTCTCCCTCCCGAGTGCACTGTGATTATTTTTTTATAAAGTCTCTTTTTCCTAGACTTGTAGTCCTGCCCCCTCAAACTTCTGGTGACCTGCTCTTATATTTTCATGTGTTTTTTGTGACCCAATGAGTTTAGTTAGAGTTGCTTATAGGAGCCTCGGTGAGTGGATATTTACAGGAACATGGATACCTTACCAGTAGCTCCACAATTGAAGAAAATGTGTCTCTGTCTCCAAGCAACCATTAACTGCTTATACATCCCCAAGGAGAGTGGGGTCTTGTGAGTTGCTTTCCCCATGACTGAGAGGTGACAGACCCAATTATGTGCAGGTCTCATATAGTTAATCACAGCTGCTGAGAGTTCAAAAGTGCAATGGCCTTTCCACACCTGGAGGCTGGCATTCCACACACTCTCCTCTTCCTCCTGATTGTACGTTCTTTCTCCCCGCCCTTCCCCAGTTTTTCCTGAGCCTTTAAAGAGATGATCTAAATGTCCAAGTTGAGCACCTGACAGACACTGATCCCCAAAACTTTGACCAATTGTGAGTCTCTGTAAAAAGAAGATTCTCTGATCAAAGCTGACAACAATGCTAATCTATGGGCATAAACATATTCAGAAGGCAGTTTGATGGCTACATTATGTTCATGTAGCAAAACAATAGCAGCAGCTTCTCCACTAGGTCCTAAGACCTCCCCAGCTGTGAGCTTTTGGCCAAGTTTAAAGTGCCAGATGTGAATATCTTCCTAACTAGGGAATCTTTTTCTTTTTTTTATTGGATGTTTTATTTACATTTCATATGTTGTCCCCTTATCCCATCCCCCACCCACCTAGGAACCCCCTATTACCTCACCCCTCCTCCTTCTTCTCTATGGATGTAACCCCTATCTACTCCCCCACTCCCACCTCCCCACCCTCAAAATTCCCACCCCCTGGGGTGTCCAGCCTTCGTGAGGTCAAGGATCTCTTCTTCCACCTATCCCCTGCAGGGCCTCCACTCTTACATATTCAGCTGAAGCCCTGGATCCCTCCCTAAGTGCTCCTAGGCTGGTGGTTTAGACCCTGGGAGCTGTGGTTGGTTGGTATTGTTGCTCTCCTCATGGGGCCACAAACCCTTTCTGCTCCAATGGCCTCCACTCTGACTCCTCCATTGGGAACCCCATTATCAGTTCAATGGCTCTAACTAGGGAATCTTAAATCCAATCAGAAAGCTGTTGGGTGTTTCCAAAGAATCATGCCAGTACTGCACCAGTAGATACATCTTTGCTGGCAGGTTGGTAGTTTATACATAAGGCTTAAAACAGAGTAAGATCATTGGTGCCAGTTCTCTCCTTGCAACCTGCATAGCACCATCTAGCACCATTAAGGCTAGCCAGCAAAGAGGAAACTTCCAGCTGAGTCCTAGCTTGATTTCTCCATGTTCTGCCACAAAAGGATGTGTCAACACGTCTTGGTTAAGCTAGCCTGCCTCCAGTGTTTTGTGCTAGTAACAGGGAACAGACCAATACAAGACATAAAATGTAGGCAACCTTCATGGCAGCATCCAGATTAGGGTTTGATTATTTGGAAGAGGTGAGGAGGTTTGATGGGCATCTTACACACAACAGTCACTG